GGTCCTCAAAGAAGTAGTGCATAATCACTTTCTCCACTACATAGGAAAAATTTGTAGTTGTTGCATCTTGTGCTTGGCAAGAAGTTTGGTTGAAAAATGTTCCAAGTCATTTGACCTCAGGCATTCTAGCACACTTGATCAGGTAGTTGTTATACTTACTAAGCCCTTGAAGCTTGATTATTTTTGAAGATTTAGGAAGGGCTTAGGGATAAAAAAAATTATTTAGTACAAATTGATTCTTTTGCTATAAAGATAAATGCAAGGGAAGATTTGTTTAGTAGTTTTTTCTTTGGAATTGTTTTGGGTCTCATTTATGTTTTGGAACTTTTTCATTGTACTAGTCACTTAACTATTGAAGGTATTGTAATCTTCTGATAGAATAAATGGATGCCAGTTTGTACCAACAATGAACTTGTTTTAATAAACAAATTATTTGTAGCTTATAACACAAACACTTAACCAAATAAGCACTTATGGATAAGTTTACATAAGTTATTTTTATAACATAAGATAAAACAAATTGAAATTGTTTTATATATGTTATAAAATTCTGTTTATATTAGCTTTGATATGCATAATCGATCCCAAGCCCCGATAAGAAGAGAGGATTGTATTAGGCAGTCGACATTCAACGTAAAAAAATTTCGAATCTCCATGACATGGATCAATTTCGAAATAATGTGAATATTAGGTCGTTGGTTGTAAGTAACACATTGTATGGATGTGGTGGAAAATAAGCAAGGGTTCTCACACTTTTGTGAACGAATATAGGTAAAGAAGTTAGTTCATGAGAGTAGGATTCGTTTTGAATCATGAATATAGGCATACTTACTGGAAAATCTATGGAAATTGTGGACATTATGACTAGGAGGAAGACCAATTTCATGCTCCTATAAGAAACTAAGTGGATAGGTGAAACGACGAGGGAATTAGACAACTCAGGATTTAAGCTTTGGCACACCAGAAAAGTAAGAACGAGAAATGGGGTGGGATTGTGGACAAGGAGTGAAAGAATGATATTGTGGATGTGAAAAGAGTGGGAGATCGAAATATAGCCTTAAAATTTATAGTGGAAAAAGATATATTTAATGTTATTAAGTCCTTACGCACCCCAGGTTTGGTTGGAAGACCACCTTAAGGTAAAATTTTGGGAGGATTTAGAAGGATTACGTCAGGATATACCCCAACGAGAGAGTCTTTTTCTAAGAGGAGATCTAAATGGACATGTGGGAAGCATAACAAAGCTTCTGAGGGAGTGTGTGGGGGTTATGGCCTCAGGAAAGTAAACGTGGTGGGTAAATTCATATTAGAGTTTTCGTCGACCTTTGATCTCAATATATCTAATACTTGGTTTAGAAAAAGAGATGATCATTTTATCACATATAAGAGTGAGGTGACATGTTATAAGATAAATTTATTTCTTATTTGGAAGTCTAATAGCAAGATTTGTTTGTAGTGCAAAGTTATTCCAAGAGAGAGCTTGACTAATCAACATAGAGTATTGATTATGGATGTAAGAATCGAGAGAGGAGCTAAGAGAAGAAGTCACATGAGAACACCACAAATCAAGTGGTGTCGTTTGAAGGGTGAATAGCAAGGAAGTTTTCAACGTAAAATCTTGGAGGGAGAGTTTGAAAAACCACAAGGAAGTGAAATTGATATGTGGAACAATATGACCCAAGAGATTAGAGAAGTAGGTAAAAAGACATTGGGAGAATCAAGAGGTTTTTTACCTAGGGGTAAAGAATCATAGTGGTAGAATGAACGTATTCAGAATAAAGTTAGAGTTAAAAGGATTGTTTTAAAGAATGATCTAGGTGTAAAAATGCTGAAACTTGGAGAAAATATAAGAAAGCTAAGAGCGATACCAAGAAGGTGGTGAGTAAAGAAAAAACTCAGGCTTTTCACAGATTATATCAATCTTTAGGAACCAAGCAGGGAGAAAAATCTATATATAGGCTAACTAAGGGAAGAGAAATAAAGACAAGAGATTTGGATCAAGTGAAGTGTGTTAAAGATGAAGATGGCAAGTCTTGGTTTACGAAAAAGATATAAAGGATATGTGAAAGACGTATTTTTAAAATTTATTTAATGAATGTTATGATATCTTACTAGACTCTAACAGGCTCGACATTAGAGAATAGGAGGGAAACTATAATTACTATCATCATATTCATAAACAATATGTAAAAAAGCATTGAAACGAATGAGTAACAATAAGGCGATTGGACCATACAACATACCTATTGAAGTTTGGAAAACTCTTGGAGATAGAGGTGTTGAGTGGCTCACTAAACTCTTTAACGAGATTATGAGGTCAAATAAAATGTTGTATGAATGGAGGAGAAACACTTTAGTCTCAATCTATAAGAATAAGGGAGATATACAAAATTGTGCAAATTATAGAGGGGTTAAATTTATGAGTCATGCCATGAAGTTATGGAAAAATGTGGTTGAACGAAAAACTAAGAAAAGAGACTTAAGTCACTAAGAATTAATTTGGTTTTATGTTTGAGAGGTAGACTATGGAAGTGATTTATCTATTAAAACGAACGATAGAGTAGTATCGGATGAACCAACAAGACTTACACTTGGTTTCTATTGACTTGGAGAAGGCGTATGATAAAGTGCCTAAAGATATTTTATGGAAAGCTCTAGAGAAGAAAATGATTGGATATATCCTAAGATATGTATGAAGAGGTATCGACTAGCGTGCAGACAGAAGGTGGAGAGACATATGATTTCCTCATTGCAATAGATTTGTATCAAGTTTCAACCCTAAGCCCCTACCTTTTTACTTTAATTTTAAATGTACTTACAGAGAACATCTAAGAGCTAGCACATCATGTTTTTCGCATATAATATAGTCCTACACAAAGAGTCGAATGAGGATTTAATTGAGAGGTTAGAGATTCAGAGGCGAGTTTTAGAAATGCATAGCTTCCGCCTAAACAGAAGTAATACATAATATATGGAATGTAAATTCAACAAAAGGAGAAGTGTTTTTAACCTAGAAAAACAATGGAGAAATATAAGGAGATGTAAACCATCAAATTCAAACTGGGTGGTTGAAATAGAGGAGAGCTTCAGGGATTATGTTAGAATGTACCGCTCAAATTGAAGAAATTTTTTTATCAGACTGCGGTAAGACCAGCGATGTTGTATGGAAAAGAATGTAATCAACATGAAAATAAAATAAGTGTAGTAAAGATGGTGATCTTGTGTTGGTTGGGTGGTAAGATTATATATGATAAGATTAGAAATGATAATATTAGAGACATTATTGTGATAGCGCATATAGTAGAAAAGATGGTGGAAAATAGATTTCGACAGTTTGAGCAAATAGAGGCAATGTCTGTAGATTTTATAGTAAGGAGAGTATATCAAATGGAGAGTAGTTAAATAGCTAGAGGTAGAGGAAAACTTAGAAAAACTATAAGAGAAGTTATTAAGAAAGATCTCGAGATTCACAATTTGGATAAAAACATAACCTTGAATAGAACATTATGATGGAAGTTGATCCATGTAGTCCACTCCACTTAGTAGGATAAAGTTTAGTAGTAGTTGTTTTATATACGTTATAAGTTGTTTCTTAAGCTATCTTGAAAAAATCATAAAAATAAATTCAAAAAATATTATTAAAAAATAAACTGAATGGTTTATTTATTTATTTTCAAATGAAATAGGTTTTTAAGTAGACTATCAGGTCAACCAGTCCTTTTAAAAGATCATATTTAGGCGTAAAAATAAGCCTATAACAAACTACAAGTCATGCTTAAGCCTTGACTTTTTGAATAGACCAGACTTTGACTTACTAGATAATCGAGATAGCCTTAGGGAATCTAGTAAACCTCTCACCAGTAACCCATTCTCAATAGATAAGCTCCGATTACTCAATACAAAGAAATTTTCAGTCTCATTGGTTTTTTAATTCGTAAGTCTATTTAAATATTAATTAAATTGTTTATTTATTTTAATTCAATTGAAATAGACTTTTAATTAGACTATCGTGTGAACTAGCCGTTTGAAAAGTTCAAACTCAGGCCTAAAAATAAGTTTATGATAGACTTCAAGTCATGTTTAGGTCTCAATTTTTTTGTTAGGTCAGACTTAAACTTGCAAAAGGCTAACTCGATCCAACATATTCCTACCCCTAGTTAATAGTTATGGATTGTTGTGCAAGGTTTATCAAGTTATAATAGCCCTTGGCCAGATGAATGAGTTAGCCTTAGGAAATCTAGTAAACCCCTTCCCACTAACCCCTTATCAATAGGTGAACTGAACCTGAACTGACTTTCAACAGGAATTATCTAAAAATATGACCATCTACGTGACATGAGAATGAGAACAGATCCTAGTAACAAATGGCAAAGATAAAAAGCAACAGCTGCAAATATATTGAGTAAAGAATGTTTCTAGTTATGAAAAATGGAGGAGACATTTACAAAGCTAAGTTTTTTAACACTGCAATTGCATGTTTACAACACTCGCAAAAATTAGTTTTTTGTTTGATTAGTTTTCCATGGAAATCCAGTAGTGCCACCATCAAATAGTACCAATGTGAAGCTTGCATCAATACTTGATGCTGCAACCAATTATATATCTCATGTAAAATAACCTGTAAAGAGTTGGATTACTCTCTGGTTCTCTTGGCTATGTTCTTGTTCCTATGCTCTTTTAGTAAGCTGCTGCTTTTATTAAAAAAATTGGGAAATGTGTTTTCCTTTCTTGATTTGTAAACCCTGGAAAAAGGGAAGCATCAAGGTGTTTCTAGTCAATAAGAGAAAAAACAGAATAGCATTTGAAGAGGAGAAATGAAAGAAAGAAGATCAATCCATCTAGACTATATTGTAATGTAGTCTAGTTAAATCAATCTCATTCCGCTCCTTTCTCATCAAACACTTCCTACATATAGTCTGATTAAAGCGTCAAATAGAGTCAATTGCTCAAGCAGCTTGAAGTAAATGCACTAGCCTCTTTTTTTCGGATTAGGCATTAGATCACACCTTCAGTTTCTTTAAAGGCTTCTCTCCTCCCATTTTGACTATATTATCCCTGAACAAAGCATGAAATATAAAAATTATGTGTACTGCATAATCATGTGTTCTACAAGCATGCCACATCCAAGAAATATTGATACCAGTTTCATGCAATAACCTTAAAATAAAATAACTTTATCAATTGGTTTATTGCAACATGTTAGATATTTCAAAGTTGAGAGGATTGCATATTTGCTTCACAACATGTGTTTATCATCATATCATCTATCTAATAAGAAAGAAAAGAAAAAAATGAGAACAGTATAGTTGTTTAAATGTTACTTGTGCAGAAACAAAATTAAATAATATCAAGGACGAATCAACACCAGTTGGCATAAAACTAGTTTGCTTCCAAATTTACATTAAAAAAACATAATGAAATGGAATGAAAAATTCCCAAGTTTAAGGGGAAATTAGAGGGAGGTGTAGAGTGGTAAGCAGATTGAAATAACACGCTGACCACCAATAACAGATTCACATATGTATAATTGTAGTAAGCAGATTGAAATAAAACTCTTGAAGGACGTGAAAATTTCACACTGAACTGCAATCAAGTGTGTTAAAACTTACATCAAGTGTATAAAGAGAATAATATTTCCTGGAACTTCATGCAATAAAGTACAAATAAGAATAAAATCATGGATGATGGTTGATGATAAATTGACTCAATGGTTGTGTGTGGATAACTCGAGCCATTTAGATAATTTTAAGAGGGGCTAGTAGGATATACAATGGCTAATAGAGAAAGATCTGAGATACATCTCACGTGAGAGTTTTGAAATACTTGCTTTATTATGAACAGCTCAGAGTATAGGAAAAAGAAAACTGGGCTGAACGGAGGGTTTTATCTTCAAAATATAGTTAGAAAAAGCTTGTACATAACACTATAACAGAGTCTCTTAGAACTTAGAAGTAAAATCAATCATCACGAATCTACATTATCACATTCTTCCATTCCTTCTTGTTGTGTTTTACTTCTGGCAGTAGTATATAGTTAAAACACTATAACACAATACTTTATCTTAAATACGAGAAAGAGGGCAATATTCAAGTGATAGTAACATATCCTCAAGTGGCTAAGTCAACCCCTACAAAAGAGAATTAGGGTTGTCTTAGTAAAAGGAAATTGGAGACCAAAACATCCCAAACACATTAACCTCCTCCGATAGTCCATTTAGAGTTAGATGTATTCTTTCTTGTATTTTCTTGTGCTACTAAGTAGCAGAAAGAGGATGCACGCTGGTATAAAAAGCTTAACATGGCTACCCTAAAAGAATCACTCTGTCCTTATTGGTAACACAATCTTTAAATTTATAAACATTTAATTCAACCCTGCAAGCCTCAATATATACACAGAAAACTATTGAAACATAATAACAAACCACGAGGCTTGGTTGGCAACCCATTAGATGTACAGTGATAAATATCATCAATTGATCTATGTCAGCACACAAGCTAAATTTAATGTATCCAGTGTTATCAAATAGCAGCGCCATGGCCGCTATGGCGCATATACATGGCAGTTTTTGGGCTTAACGCAATGGTAAATATCGGCAGATATTGCGGGGTTTTCCGCCATAATCCGCTATAATGGCGCCGTAAAGCATCCGGTATGGCGGGATTTTGGCTCTCCGCCATGGACTGCCATCTGCTATCGACAAACACTGAATGTATCACATAAAATTGTAACATTTGTTTTATTGGAACCCAAGTTTAGTAATCATAACCACCATGAGTAATATAGGTTGCATGAACAACAAGCCTAAAAGAAGAAAGTTACCGTAGAAAGGGTTGTGATTCCAATCTCGTGAAATTGATCATAATAACCAGCAAGGAAACAAAAGATTTTCCACATTGCATTAACACTTTCAAATCTAATGTCCACCAAAATGCTACCAAGTCAAAGTTGATCCGAGATTGTGAAACCATCATAAATAAATTAATCACTATAAGCTCCGAACAACACAAGTCTTGAATAGGAAAGGAAGCCTTATAATGGAAAACAACATAAAATATAAATGCAACACCAATTTCTTAGCATGCAATAACAATGAAAACAGCACACAAGATTCCATAAAAGCAAAACCCAATATAGAAACAGCAAAAATGAAATAAATACAGTAGCATATATGGTATATGAACGTATGAAAAACAAAGTTCAAAAATGAAACTTTAGTTTGGGATAGTTTACGACCAGAAGAGTAAAAAATCATGGCAACAACAGTTTATAACGCTCTTACTTGGAGTTTCCAGTTCCATGGATATGAAGATCATGAGTGGTTTGACTCTTCTTCTTCGCGAAAAGCTTGGTCTTGGATTTCCTTTCTCTGACTTTCCAAACATTATTCTTTCTGAAAACCAATTTATCAACCTTCCACCTTGGGCAACTAGTGTCAATCACCGTAACCTCGCTTCTAGTGAAACCCTTAAAATCTTCCTCGCCGTCGTTGTCCTCCACTACTGGATCTTCTACTTCAACCATTGCATCGGCTCCAGTGGCGGCGGCGGTGGTGGAGGAAGACGCGATGAAGATTTTAGGGTTTGTTTGTTTCCTGGGACATTTCTTAGAGGTTATGGAGATGGTGGCGCCGGGATTGAAGAGGTGAGCGAGAACAGCGGTTAACGGTGGGTCGTGGGTAACGGTTGGACAGCGTGGCGGCGGTTTAATGGGGCGGGGTTGAGGAGAATGGGTGGTGAGTCTGAGGAGGAAGGAGTCAAGGTCAATGTCGTCGCCGGTTGGGATGCCTTTGTTGGATCGAAGACGGTCGAGCCAATTTGAACCGCGTTTATCGGACCGGTTCGAGCAGATCATAATGGGTGGACGGTGGACGGTGGACGGTGGACGGAGAAGGAAAGAATGTGGAGGGGAAGGAGTTGAAAAGTGTGAATGGTGGTAGATACTGACTTGGAAAGGGTAAAAAGGCGGGTCGGTGATGTAACGTCACGTGGTTGACAAGAGTAGTAGTGTGTTTTTCAAATTCAAACACACTGTACTTTTACCAATCACCAATGTTGATTGCACAACGTTGGACATACATACCCCCATTCAACTACTATCAGATTCAGATACACATAATGCCACATGTTGACATCTAAGCTAAATATTTAATATTTTTATCATTTTATTATTTTCTAAATTCTTTTAAAAACTCATACATCTCTATATTATCACGGATAAATATTATTGCTTTCATACATCATATTTATTATTAGTCATATGTATCGATGTAATCTATTATGGTGTGAACTAACTTGAAATCGATAAACATTGGATTAACAATTATGCCATACAAGACTTGTTTGAAAATTGACACAGTACCTTCTTTGATGTTGCACTTGTATTATATACGCTTGAATTTAACATAGGTCCTTTTAGCTTAACAATAGCATGTGTTTGAAATTTTTCCCTGCATGTTACATTCTTGAAATTAAAACTCTAAAATATCACAATTTGAAATTAAAATCTCAAAATATTACGTACAGAAGAATTCGCGCCATTTCAAATGACGTAAACGTGAGACCTTTTTATACAACATGTATGTTCTCGCCATTTCAAATGGCGTAAAAGAGATTATTTTTTAAAAAATTCGTTTACTATTGACATTATTTTCTGCATTAGATATACTTCCTGCATTTAGGGTCCCATCTTCACGCCTTTTCAAATGGTGTGAACCTTTCTGTATGTGATATTTTGAGATTTTAATTTTAAACTGTGGTATTTTGGAGTTTTAATTCCAGGAATGTGACATGCAGGGGAAAATTTCGCATTTTGAGATTTTAATTTTAAATTGTGATATTTTAGAGTTTTAATTCCAGAAATGTGACATGCACGGAAAAATTTCGCATGTGTCACGTAATTGTTCCAAGAATTGTAGGCAATAAGTAGATTACAGAATTAACTAAGCAACAACTAATTTGTGTACCTAACAAAGATATGGATTTGTTATTCACCTTACAAGATATTGTCGTTCCGCAGTCAATCTCACGTCAGAAAGCAATACTTGCTAATGTAAAATAATAATCTCAAATATACTATACTTTCAATACTATCATGCATTTCAATTATATTTTTAATATATTATGTTTTAAAAAAAAATTGTAGTAGGAATTTCCATTTATTAGATTCGCGGATACTCTATAATTTATATCGTTTCTGCTCATTGGGTTGGCGGAACTGATGTTCACGTTAGAACACTTTTGTGTATTGAATGAACGGATCCTCTTTAATTTCCAAGAGCTCTGCCCATTATTTTTGCGGATTCCAATTATTTTGTTATGTTTCGCTCATTCATTTGACGGATAATTTGTGTCAACAATGAAATTTGTTTGAAAACATGATAGTTTAGGATTATTGAATGAAGATAATGGTATATTGAAAATTGTTGTGTAAAAATATAGCAGGACAATAAAATTCCTTCATTTGTAAGTAATCAAATGAATTAGAAAACGAATTAGAAAACCAGTTTGGAATGTTAACTTTCCAAACCCACATGTTATCAAGTACTCTATTACATCTTGTAAAAAAGATATTTTGTATTACAGACTAAAACGAAATTCTCTGAATGTCACACACAGAGAGTTTCACGCCATTTCAAATGGCACAAAGATGAGACCCAGTTGACAGCATAAGGACTCTCGCCATTTGAAATGGCGTGAAAGGGTTATTTTTTTATTTTTTTTCTTCTGAATTTTCTTTATTTATATCAATTATTTTTATTATTTAATTTTATTATTAATTATAAATAATCTAATAAACTATTTAATTATAAAATTAATTAATAAAATATTAATTTAAAAATTTAAATAATTATAAATTAACAATTACAATTAAATAATAAAAATTATTATTAAGTAATAAAATTTAAAAATTACAATCAAATTACTAAATAAAAAAATACAGTTAAAAATAGTTATAAATAACAATACGTGGATAAAATTAGTTAGAAGGGTCTGCATTGTTGAGGCGATTCGCACATTTTTGTGCATGTGTGGTTGTTGACAGATTCCGCATTGTCTTTTTATTTTCTCAACAATGTCCATTTCAGTTCTAATGTGAGTATTGTTCGGGCGACCTTTTTTTTCGTCGCATCCTTTCATCATGCAAAAAAGTATCTCTCAAATATGGAGGTAACTATCTTTTTGAGAAACACCGAATAAGTAAGTGGCCGATAATTCCTATTATTAACCGTCTCTTGGACCACAAAATAGTGACTTTCACGGTCAAAAATCAAGACATTATAATTGTGGAATTTTTCAACTTCTGCAATTCCTTTCATGCAGTTATCTGTGAATTCTTTTCTCGATGACAAATTTTGTATCCAATCATTTCCTCGCTTCCCCCATAATATACCCATCCTGTGGTATGTTGATCTTACAAGTGATGTAATAGGTAGGTTGTGTTTGTTTGGCGGATCTCCCCCGATAATATGTGTATGTAGACTCATTAAGTTCATACCCTGCGTATAAGTATTAAAAATATTAATATAAAAAAATTATATATTTAAATGTCATGTTAAAAATTAGAGAATAAATTATTCATATTAACAACTGGTTTGCAAAGATTTTTGTCCTTGATAGCTTGCATGAAATTTTATGCAATGTGGTTAATGCAATACACATGCATCGAAAGTGCGTTCTATCGGTCATTGTCTGAATTATTATAGGCACTTTTAATAGACTCATATCAATTCGATATCAAATATAAGCTTGATATCTAAGTTGGCAGCTTAATTACTATAAAAAGTCAGCTAGTACCACCTATTTTCAAAAGGGTTGACAACAATGGACATGTTAAACTGGCAGCAGTACAGATTATCCAAAATTCGAAGCATTTTATGTAATTAAAAAATGTTTATTAACATGGAGAAAGCGACATGAACAATGTAAGCAATTAATGTCCTGATTTGACGTGTGTAAAACATTGAGGATTGTGGTGTGAATATATAGATACAGAGTGCAGAATGAATTTCAAAAATCGGTACTAATAATGCAATGTGATGTAATAATAGTTAAATTGAATCCACCTTTATTGTATGTAGTGCAAAAGAATTTTCATGCTTATGTAAGGTCTGTGTTGATAATCAACAAAAGACAATAGTTCCAAAAACTTTCTTGTCTTACTAAAACATATCAAAACCAGTGAGTGTATACGCAGCAAATTGGTTTTGAAGGCTTTTTGAATGTCACTGAAGACACAATAGACAGTGAAATTTTGTGATGTATATGTTATGTTAGAGGTCATATTCAAATTATAATAAGTCTAAGAGGAAAGAAATGAGAAATGCATAATTAGCAGTATTTACAAAATCTAATATGTAATACTTAGTTGCAGAATACTTAGGTGTTATAAAGGCGGTTGTTAATCCGAAGGAGTAAAATCACAATGAAACAAAACAAATAATCTTATTACAGACTATGTTCACATGAAGCTTGTAAAAGGACTGCAAAAGGACACAGTACAATATTGACAACTTAGTATTTGAAATATGAAAATGCTTAGAACTTTAACCAATGTATGAACAAAATATGTCAAATATTCCAAACCGTACCACTGTACCACCGTTTGAACTTTTCATATTATATAGACTTTTCAGTATGTAAACTATAGACTTTTCTTATTTCACATAATCTGTTAACATATTAAGCCGGATACTCCACTGGACCACCGTTTCAAAATATTTTTTCATATTCTTAGAGTTCTTAATTGCTCAAAACTACTCAAGAATTGATCAGATGAGTCCTAATTATAGGATTTTAGTTTTCTCAAGGAAAATGAGACTTCTAATGCCTCAAGTGAATTTCATGGCTCCTTATATACTTCAAAGATTCCTCATGGCAAGTCTTAAGCCTTATATCAAAAATTTGCTCAGGCAATAGCTAAGATGATTGAAAATCAATTGTATTAGACAGAAATTCAATTGTGGTCAACTTACAGTCAAACCTCGAGATTTTTAGTCAACATCAATATTTTAAAGTCACATTCATCATTTGATCAAGGGTTGATCATAAGTCATCAAGAAAACTCAAGATTCATCAAAAGTCAAAAGTTGCTAAATTAGGGTTTTCTTTAGAAGAAGTCAACTGAACTTTGACCAAGCATAACTTTCACATGCTTCATCAAAATTTTCTCAACCAAAGCTCATTTTGAAGGAAATTCAATTCTCTACAACTTTGTCTATCTAAGCTCAAGGCCAAAAATGCTTCATTTGAGAAATATAGGCAAAAACATTACAGGTCATTTTAAAAGTCAACAAAAAGACATTTTTTGTCAAAGCAATTTACATCAAGATAAATCTTCAAATGAAAAAATGACCAACATAGAGATTATAGGGGACATCTTGAAGTTTCTAAAAAGTCCTAGATCACCTTCATATGATAAAAATTGAGAGAGTTATGATTGACACAAGTTGAAAAATTTTGAGAAAATGCATGAAACTCAAATTGAGCAAACTTGAATTTTTGGGCTAATGGGCTTATCTTTTAGAGTCCAAATGTGTTCTTAACCTCATAATGAACCTCTAAATCTATTCATACACCCTTTTTATTTTTTATTTTATTTATTTTGATTTTATTTATTTAAATTCAAAATTAAATCAAATAAATATTAAATATAGGTGCAAAGCTTAAAGGGCTTTTAATTCAAATACTTTAGAGGCCCAAAGATATGCTGCAAAGCGTGTGGGGTTATTTTCAAAACAAATCTTCATATTTTATCATATTCCAAGTTATTTTCAAACAAAAATAAAAGATATAATTTCATACAAGATCCAAGCCATCTTTTGACCTAATACCCTCTCTTATAAATACTCTTCA